TGTAAAAAGATTCCAAAGACCACACCTTACATATAATTAATGCTTTGGAGTGGAATGGTCCTAGTTCATACCTACTGTCTGACATAATTATTAAATGGAACCTCCTTTCACTCTTAAAAGTGTCCCAGTTTGGAAGATAGATTATATAATTCACAGGCTTCCATAATAGTTTCCCCCTCTATGAATTTATTTGTTTACAGAGACTGTATGATAAAATTTCCCACATCTGGATTTGGCTGGTTTCATATTTGTCCTTTTTGCTTAGTTTTTTCTTTTATCCCCAGTATCCTTTGTACACTGGTAGTTACATACTCAAGTGTATGTATGCACACAGTACACATTGGCAGAAATGCTTCATAACTGGTGCTGAAATCTTAGTTCTCCATATCCATAAGGAGTCATATAATGTCTGCTTGGTTCCAATTTTAGTAATGTTAAGAGTATTCAGTGTGTTCAGGAGTTGTCAGCCTGATCCAGTTCTTCCTCGAACTTTCACCTGACAGTTTAGCATCCATTAGTGATCGTTGCCTGTTTCCATTAATTTTTTAGAGTTTGCAAAGTGATTGATGCTGTATAAATTTAATTTATTTTGCTAGTTTTTCCATTCTGTGTACATTTGAGTAACTGATCTAATTTTCATTTTAAAAGAGTTAAAAATCCAAATGGTAAATCAAAGGTAAAAAAAATTTTTTTAATCTCTTTTATACATAAACGTTATTAGGGCTGGCTGGTTAGCTCAGTTGCTTAGAGCTCAGCCTTATAACACCAAAGTCACAGGTTCAGATCCCCATACCACCCAGCTGCCATCCCCCCTGCCAAAAACAAACAAACAAAAAACCCATTTTTATTATATTTGCTCTATTGATTCATCATTTAACCATGAGCCAAATTCGGAATCGTATTAAAGTTACTGTCATGCGCTAATTCCAACAATATTTGAAAGGCTCCTATAGAAATAAAGTAGCCACTTCATGTTGGAAATCAACTTGAAGTTACTCGCCCTTGTTATG